CATTAGAATTGCATGTCACATACCAAAAGGGGACAAAGGGAAACATTTCTCCATTGCATAAGAGAGGATATGCATGCAGCAGCAGAAGACGGAAGCAGCATCACCAAGCGTGTCTGAAGGCAGCAGCATGATGCACAGGCAGAGAACAATGTGCTGGCCAGGAGTGCAAACACCCACGTCGAGATGACAAAGCCAGGGATAGCTGAACAGACAGGCGCCTGCAGGAAATCAGGCTGTGATACATGAAGTGCACAAAGGTAAAAAGCTTCCTGCAGTCCTGGGAGTCAGTGCCAGCGGGCCGCTAGATGGAAACGCAGCACTCACTTCCTCTCTCCTTCATGAAGGTTCTCTGTCCTCTGCCAGTCACGTTCCTCGCTCTGTAAGACATCTGGAGACACCTCTGAGAAATGGCAGGAAACAAGGAATGTCCAGCAGGCCATGACTGTGGCACAGTCCAGTTTCACTTCCCCTTCAACAGAAAACAATTAAGTCATTTAATGCCCACCCAGACATGGGCTGGTGGTGCTGGGTGGGACAGGCTGGGATGTTGTGCTCACATTGAGCTTCTTGGAACGTCACAGGGTTTCAGCATCTGAGGTACCATATGCCAATAGGCCTGTGAGAACCTGCAGCTGGAGATTGGTGTTTTCCAGGCAGAGAGGATACTGCCTGTAGCATTTACCTCTTGACAAGTGATGATGAACAGTGCTGATTCAGGGAGACAATATAAAGCACGCACCGCTTCACATGTGTCTCAATCAATGGGGCCACCCAGGATTGTAGCTGCTCTTTGTCTTTCTCCTCTGAAGACACAGCATAAGAGAGGTGAATGCCAGTGCCCCTTGCCCAGTCACCCTGCCAGCACTTTCTGTCCATCCCAGCAGGATCTGCAGCCGCCGATCCCAGCAAGTTTCCCAAAAGCCAAGCATAGGTACAGCACGCATCCTAGCAGCCAAGGGAAGGGCCAGCAGAGCAATCAATTCACCATTTTCAAGGCTAAGAGAGAGAAATCAATTGGTGGCTTAATTAGGAATATTACCCACATAGCTAATAATTATCTATAACAGCTCTCTTCTTCACAGCTCACTTCTGCTTTAACTCCTCTTCCACTAAATAAAGGTGTTACCTGCGGATGTTATTTGTGGCTTCATAATCTACTGTCAGAGGCATTATAGCAATTTATTTGAAAACGCACTGGACCATGACCACAAGGAAGACAGAGTAGGACTATGAGCAAGAAATCCTGCCTAGAGCAGTCAAGCAGAGAGCAACGAAGACTTCAGAGGCATTGATT